GGCAGGGCAGGGTGGGATGTGGACCTGGGATGTGGACCTGCCAGCCCCCAGGGCCACCCCTGCCCTCTGGGGATCCCCACCAAGCTGCACACCCGAGAGCCCCAGCCCTCCCCGCACCCTTGGAAAAGCAGCGACAAGGCATGATCTGTGTTTGTTTCTTTATTAATCCATAGTCTGATAGCTGGTGTACAGGGAAATGATCTATACATCAGGGGCTAAGACAGGGAGATCCAAAAGGCTTGTTTCCATAACAATTAAAAAAAGGAAATAAAAGTAATTTTTAAAACTTCTAAAAAGCTTCTAGTGTGCAGACTGCAGCATTCTCTAGGCTCATTGTCGGGTGCAGCCTCCCGCTACCAGCCCTACGAGCAATCTGAGCGCAAAGCAATGTCACTGCAGGTGCCTGGCACGGTTGCAGCACAGCACATTCCCTACGGTGTTCACAAGGCCAAAGCACAGGACCCACACACAACTCTACGGTGATGCTACGGAGTCAGCTGTCACAGTGGGTCTAGGCAGGTTATTGTACATAGCAAGGGTGATGGATGGAGAGTCTGTGCCTATATGGCTCAAGTTCGGGGTGGGGAAGGGGTTGCTTTGCTCTCCAAGGCTAAGCTGGGTCATTTGCTTCACTGCAGCTAGGTTTCTTCCCAACTGCAGGGAGCCAGGGGCTTCTCCAGAGGATATGCACCCACTCACTGCCAGAGAGGGCTGACCTGCCAGGACCACCACCATGTGGCCTGAACCTGGAGGTGGGCTCTTTCTGCATGTGGTCATGAAGAACAACCTCAGGCTCTGCATAGCCACCTTCAGGGGAAAGAGCAGGGGGTCCCCACCTCACTGTGCTACAAAGGCCAGGCCCCCATGTTGGTTAGGCAAAGGACAGAGTGGAGGACTGGGCCCTACTGCCATTACCTGCATCCTGCCTTCCTGGGGTCAAGTATTGTCACAGACTCAACCTCCTGCCCACTCAGAGCCCCCTGGGCAGCTCTGCACCCACTTGCTCCTGCCTTCCTGCCTTGCTCCCAGGGTGGCTGCAGCAGGGATTCACCTGGCCAAAGCACAGCCACCCAGGGAGCAGCCCCCCCTGTCTCTGGGGTTGGTCCTGGGAGGGTCAGCATCCACTGGGTCCCCAGGCTATCCTCACTTGTGCCCCTGCAGGGATGCCAGGGGACCCTGCAAAGCCCTTGCATGGGGTGCACAGTGCAGGGCTGCTGGCTCCTGCCAGCTCCTGGCTCGTCTCCTGAGCAGATATTGTGCTGAGTAGAGCTAGGCACAACCCTGTGTGGCACAAGCATCCCCTGCTCTGTCTCACTACCCATCTTCCCTGGGCCCCAAGCACCTCAGCACAGGCCTATGGCTTCGCCCCAGTTGAAGCCAACACAAACTGGGACTTGCACCACGGGCAGGCCCATAGGACTGCACCTGTGGGTCCTTCTCTTCAGGCCAGGAAGGGACCATGGGGGCACAGGGCAGGGACAGTCTGCTGCCCCTTTGCTCCTGTAGCCTCCCAGCTCCATTCATCAGAGCTCCTCCAAAGATTTTGCCCATCCTGCAGCCTGAAGAGTTATTTGGGAGCAGAGCTGTTAGTGCTTTGTACATACTGCTAGAGTGTCCCTAGGGGTTTGCATAGTATTTATTGGTTCATATACACAAGGCTGATTGCTGTACAGTTTACACTTTCAACACAAGCAACGAGCTCAGTGCTCAGCCCAGAGCCCTGCCCTGGCGGAAGACGTTGCACGTGCTGGAGAGAGGAAGGGCAGCCCTGCACCAGCCCCTCTGCCCAGGGCAGCTGTGCCCCCCAAAAACCCTCCTCTCATATCCAGCCCAGCAATTGCCACCCTCCCTGTAACCCAACACTCACTGAGAGGGACGAGAAGTGGGTCCTGCAGAGGCAACACAGGCAAGAGAGGCCAAGCCCCTGTCCTTCCATGGCGAACAGCGCCGTGCTGCCCCAGCTCCCCTCCTGCAGCCGGAGCACGGGCACAGGGCTGCACTCATACACACAAGTGTGTGAGGGTAGAGACTCCTTCCCTCCAGTGTTCTTGCCTCCCAGAAGAGCTGAGAGGATGCCCCTGGTGCATGCTGCTGCCGCTGGGCTCCTGGCAGCAGCAGGGCAGGACGGAGGCCCCTCCGTCCCTTTGTACTGTAGCTCATGCGTCTTGCAGTCAGTCAGTCATGCGGATAGGATGGTAAGTAAGTCTCATACAGAAATCATGCCATTAGCCTATAGAAACATGTACAGCCAGCCCTGCTCCCCTCCACTCTCTGCTCTCCTCTTTCCCAGGTATGTGTCAGAACATGTGTGGAGTTCAGTGGTTTGGTGTTGACGTGAGATCCTGGAGGAACACAGAGACAGACAGAGATGGGGTTACCAGGTATTCAAGGTGGCACAAGTCAGGAGAAAGAGTGGGACAGCTCCAGTTCTTTCTGCACCCTGTGCTTGTCCCACATGCACAGCTACCATAAGACAAACTGTGGGGGGTGTCAGAGAGACAGCAACAGAGCACCAACAGGTACCCTGCTTGGAACCAGCAGCAATGGCACAGACACTATTGGTGGTGCTGTCCCAGTGGCAAAGAGCAGCAGCAAAAAGCAGCTGAGCTGGGGGGCTGCTGTAGCCTCAACTGGGATGCACTGACTGCACCTCATTCTGCAGCAGTGGGGAAGACCCCGCGCATTCCCTGTGCACATTCTGAGCCACTTTTGCACACTATGGGAAACAACAAGAGCAAGCCAGCAAGAACATTGCCTCTGGGAGAGGCAGAGCAGGGACTGCCTGGGGAGTGTGGTTGGGATACAGTTTGCATGAACATGTGTTCACAAGCACAAACTTCTTGACTGTCATGCACTCACAGAGAGCCCACTAACAGGGTGGAGAGAAGAGGGAAAGGGGGGGGACAGACAGACACAGCCATGCATGTACAGCAGAAGCCAGAGGGCCACCTGCCCCTGCCTGGCAGCTGAGGGAGCATGCCTGCCCCAAGTGCTGCCCTGCCAGCAGTAGTGACTGTTCCAAGAATGATGCCATGGGGGTCCAAGTGTGCTGTGCCAAGCAACCTGCCTTGGGCCTGGTCTAGTGCCACCCCAGAGGGAAGGCAGGGGCAGGAGGGAATGCACAAGACTCCAGGGATGGTCCAGACCTCACACTGGTAATAAATGGCAGAAAGATCCTGGGCCAAGAACAGGTCCCGTCCTCAACCCCTACAAGCATCATGTTTCTGCACCTCTCCTTCATCCCTGCATTCTGCCAGGGCCTGCACCCCCCCTCCCGGCCACAGGAGCTGCCGCAGCCCTCACTGCCGCCCTCTCCTGCCACCAGGAGCGCTGTCAGCAGCAGCCGGAGCCCGGCGGGACCGGGACACCCCGTACCGAGCTGCAGCATAGCAACCCCTCTCCGCAGGCTGAGAGCTGGGCACACAGCCCTGACACTTTCCCTAGAAGGATGTGCATGACCAGCAGCTCAGTGCAGGCAGCAGCACGGGGAGGCGGGACAGAAGGAAGAGTAAAGGTAGGGTTACCTCATAAGAGGCCATTTGAGGGGTCACTGCTTCCCCCTTTTCAGGCTGGCTCGTTTCACTATCTGAGCCCCCATCCTGCCCCCAGAGACCTCCGGTTTTGGGACACGCACTCGCATCTCCTCCTGAGGAAGCCACAGGGGCAGGAAGCAGGACATCACCCAGGTGAACAGACAGACATACAGAAGAGGACAGGAGAGGGAAAGGCAGAGTCAGTTGGCAGAAGACACTGAGCAAGAAGACTGCTGTAGTGGGCAAGAGCTGCCCCTGGAAGCCTTAGAGGGGAACCAGAAGAGGAGAGCAGGGCAGAAGAAAGGACAGAGAGTGACAGAGCCCAGAGCCTGTGAGTCCTGCAGAGGCAATGCTGGTCCCAGACAGGGTGCCAGCAAGGCAGAATTATGAGCCACACCTTACCTTGGTCCCCAGACTGTCACGCTGTAGGATGGAGTATTTCATGAAGTGATCCTCCTCAGTGTCCAGGTCTTGGGGCTCCTGCAGGGAGCCCTCCAGAATCAGCTCCTCCTGCTCCTGCCTGTCACCCATGTCACCAGGGTGCAGCTGCCGCACCACCTTCCGGATGACCTGTGGAGACCCGCAGAGCTGGGTGTCACAGTGAGCCCTGGGGCACGGTGCCTCCCTCCTCGCCCAGTCTGGCCATGAGCTGTCCCTGGGGTGCAGCCTGTCCCATCCCTGGGTCTGGCCTGAGAAGTGCCCTGAACGTAACTGAAGATGGCAGGACACGGGTGCCCTGCATGGGCCCCTGGGCTGCAGGGAGGAGCAAGGCAGAGGGGAGAGAAGGGCTGCAGTGTGCCCTTGCCAACACTATGCCCTTGATCACTCACCTTCTTGGTGATTATATTGCCTTGATCATCTGTGAACTGCTCTTCAGTCACCTGCTCCCCAGGGAGATGAAGGACTTCGTTCCCCTGCAGCAAAAGGAGGGACATCAGGGTATTTCAGGGGGTGAGGGGAGCCCCTTTACAGGCAGAACAGTACATCTGGTGCACACACCACAGCCTCTGTCTCCCACTCTGCCCCATCCCTTCACTGCTCTCCACTGCATCTGTCCCCGAACTGGTCTCTGCTCCCTGCTCGTTACCTTCACAAGAACACGCCGGCGGACGACCCTGGTGGAGAGAACCTCCTCGTCATCCGCCAGCCCTGGGCTCTCCCCGAGCTCCTTGTCCAGCTCACGGTGGGCGTGTTTGAGCAGGAAGCGGACAGAGCCCCTGATGATGTGCATGACATTCTGGCAGCTGACCAGGAAGAAGGCCAGCAGCACCAGGGCAATCAGCAGCTGGGCCAGGAGAGCCCACATCCCGCCCCACGCTCAGAGCCCAGCCATGCTGCCCGGGCAGCCCTGTGGCTCTGCAGCACTGCTGAAACCCAAGCTGCCGTGGCTCAGCTGGCTGTGGGCGGTGAGAAGGCAGCAGGCAGGTGGGGCGTCCTCTGCACTCCAAGTCATGGGGCCAGGACTGTGACAGCCCTGTGTGTCCCCAGCCAGGCAGTAATGGGGACAGCCCTGTCCCCCTTCTTTGCCAGCTCACCAACAACTCCTCTTCCTGGCCATGGAGGGAGGGCAGCATGCAGTTCTCTGTCATGGGACAAATGAGGCCCCTGGCAGGAGCTAGAAATTCTGGATGTCATGGGAATCACATGTGACTTGGGGGACACACGCTGCAGAGCTGAGGAACCACCTCCGAGCACAGCAGTGCTGCCGCGATGGCCGTGCCCGCACTGGCCTGGGAAAAGTGCTTGCCTGCACCTTGTACCTGCCTGCTCTATATGATTGTGGCAGGATGCCCACCACCCAGCCTGGCCCCCGGACCAGCTCTATATCTGGCTCCAGAGGGCTGTTGGGCCAGAAGCCAGGACAGATACTCAATAAGGAAGCCAGCAGAGAGGCTAACTGGGTTATAATTGGAGAGCAAGAGCTCAGGTATCAAGCACAGCAGGCTATTCTGGACTGAGAGGCACCCCCAGGGGCAGGGGGCAGGAAGTGTGCCAAGAAACTCACGCCTCCACTAGCACCTGGTCTGTCCTGCTGGCCTTGTGGCAGGCTCAGGAAAGGGCTCTCCATAAGGTCTACACCTCCTGCAGAGCTGTGTCACCCTGCTCTTAACCCTCACCTGCCCAAAGAAGCAGCTGTCTGCCTTCTCCTGACAGCTGCCCGTGGGGTGCTGGGGCTGCCAGTCACTGTCCTCTGCCGGGCCGACCCGCATCCGCCC